GAGTGCTCCTTAGTGATATGGATTAATTTAGCCTCTCCTGTCCTGCAGATCAGTAACACTATGATATTGAAAGTAATGCTGTGCTACAAACAGCTTTTCTTATACTCAAAGAAAAAAAAAAAAAAAAAACAAAACAAACAAAACAGAACAGAACTTTTTATATATGAATGGTTTTACTGTAACATATCTTGCTCTATGCAGTCAACATTCCTTCCTAACGTTCATGCTGAAACAGAGTTAAGTAAAGATTCATGTTGTAGTGGTGACAGGAGGAGTTGTTACACAAGATGTAAAGTTTCCCTTCGATTTCATGTCACGATTTTTTCTCATTATTTAAACAAGAACTACATTGAAGTGGTGCAGGTACCAGGCAATAAAGATTTCCCTTGGTGCTGACAAACTCTGAGACCGCAAACGGAGGTGCTTACATGCCGCAAGAGATATTGCATAATGTTCTTTTCCTTTAGGCTAGGAATTGCTGTCACAAAGGAAACATCTTTATATAAGAATTACTATTCTAGAGAAAAAAAAGAAACATTTAGTTCTCATTTTATATGAAGATTTCACTGTTTTATTCAGTAATATATGGAAACCATTTCTAAGCATGCAGCTTTTAACCTGCCTTATTTATTAAACTGATTTTGGAATTGCTTCAATTATTGTCAGTAATTCCACTTTATTATTCAGCAATACCCAAGTACCATGGAGGGAATATGTTGTTTATTTAAAAAAAAAAAAAAAAAAAAGAAAATATGTTTTTTCTCCACATGTTTTGGGGAGAGATCTGACAAAGCTTTTATAACTGATATATATAAGATACATAAATATCTGATTTGTAGGTAGTTTACTGAGTCCATTTGCAAGGGTTTTGGGAAGTGAAAAATTATTTTTGTGCCTACGGGATGTTAAAAAATAAACAAAGCAAACAGGAAAAGAGTTTTGCTGGAATTCTGCAGTTCGTGTGTGGGTCACTGGCATGGGAGTTGAGGTGCACATGATGTGTTAATTGAGAGAGGAAAAATTGGAGACAGGATTTGATTTAGAACAGTAGGTGTCTGTATCAGGGAGACAAACACAAACCTCCAGCTATATTGGTCAAAATACAGATAAAGTCATCCCTGGAAAACAGTTGGGGTATTTCAGCTTTTAAGGGATTAGTAGCTATTTTTCTGTATTCCCAAAATCACTGCAAGATGATGATAAAAAGAACAAGAATATTTTATATTCACAAGCAGATTCTTATTCCTTTCAATGGTATGAAATAGAGTTTGAAGTATAGTCGACAAGGATATTGAATAATGACATTTCCACTTTTTTTTTTAAATTTTGAAACAACTTTCTTGTAAAAAGGTCTGAAACGACTTTCTAATGCATACAAAATTTATAATAGCAGAAAGCTTTTTCCTTTTTAAATGAAAATGCTGATTACAAGCCACAAAAACTGAGATTTTCTGATATTCTTATACATTTGTGGGGTTTTATTTTTTAATTTTTAGTTTTTATTTTTTTCCTGAAATAACACTGTGAAAGATCTTATTCTAAAAAGCCATTTTGAAAACAAAGCTGTTCTAAGCTGAAAATGTTTTGCCGTCTTGAATGACTGAGACCTAGTAGAGTATATGCTTTGGCAACTGGTTGCAACTGCAACGTAAGCCAAGTTACTGCCAGCATGAACACTTAGGAGCTTCTTTGCAGTTGCCATTTTCCAAAGTAAATGTCTGGATGCAAAGAAGGCGCAGAAATTAGGTTAGTCTGACAGCTGAAAGGTAGGTTGGTAAGTGGGGTACCTGCCACTGCCTTTCTCCTGTCCATTGCCTGTTCGTCATTCTTTTGAACATGGGTTGTTGTTACACCACATTAAATTTTATTACAAGTCAATTCCTACATTTCATTCCTTTCACTGTGATTGCAGTAAGTTCCTGTCAGCCTGACATGACAGAGTCAGAAGCTTGCCTGGCAAAAACTGTCTCACTATCCTAGTCTTGACAATTTGCTTTGGTGAAAGATCTGCTTGTAGGAGTTTTGCACCTGGTAAAATGGGAGAATACAGAAAAATTCAACAAAATATTATGTTCTTTGCCATATGGTGCTGCAGGAGCCTTCAAAATTCAGCTTTCCAGAGGTGATATGTTTCTGTTTGTTGAAATGATATATGGATATATTTATAAAATATACATTTATAAAATATTTATAAAATTTTTGACACCAAAAGTTTTCCACTGACCAGAGTTTTTTGTATTTTAGAAATGTGCTAAATATATAGATGTAAAATTACTGATAGCAAAGGAAGTTTCTAGGTACAGCACCCTGTACCATTTGAATATCTGGTGAAAAAATATTTTTGATGTGTTTTAACTAAAGTGTTGATTTATGGATTGCTAATTTCAGCATGCTGGATTTTTGCTTGGCCAGATACAGAGTTCTGTACCACCTCTGAGTTTAAGTCATGGCTATAATCATTATCTCAGATATTTCCATCAGTGTGTGGCTAGTATGTCTTTGCAATGGAGGTAACCTTGGCTGAATAATGAATTGAAGTATACTCGGGCATCAATCACTAATGATGCTACAGAAAAGATATTTCAGTAGATTTGTGAATGCAATCACTCAAAGAAAGACTATTTTAAAGGATGAGAGAGGTTTCATTTTCCAAAGAAAATACTTTCTCTAGCATTAGTCAGAAGAATTTATTTAAAATTTTATGTAAGTTCCTGAGGTCCTCAGGGAGTTCCAAGACACAGAGTTTTACTTTAGTATACCTATGTATTATATGGACTTCCAAAAGGATGAATTTTAATTTTAAAATATTAATTTAATTGGCTGGATATTGAAGAACCGAAGGTATTCATTCCGAGGGCACTGTATTATAATCCACCTGTAGGCTAAAAGTGAAGACTGCTATTCCTTAGTGATTCCATGCTCTCCTAATGCAGATTTGGTTTATTTTTCAGAAATTGTTAATATACCAAGCTAAAAATATTTTAAAACCAAGTAGATCAAAGTTAGGTGTGGTCTAATAGATAAATCACTGTGCTCTCAGGTGCTGGGCCGCAGTTCAATCCAAGACATTTGACTCAGATTAATTTAGTGGTCACATCTCACATACCTTAAAACAGTGGGATTTTCTGCTTGAGAAAGGAGGGAAATAGAGCTAGCATGAATGATAAATTGTTTTTCAACTTTAGGTGGTATTTTCAGGCTTAAAATTATTTTGAGGGAGAACTGAGAAATACAAATGGTCCTACTTATGTTTTCCTTGGCTTCTGAGTTAAACAAAATGAAACAAACCAGTTTAACATTACAGAATGTCCCAGTATTCTGCTTTTCCAGTCAAGTATGTGCAAGATTTTGAGACGGGTACTCCAAATGTTACAGTTCTGTCTATCTGAAGAGTTTGCTCATTTCTATACTCCCTTAATTACAGAAATGCTCTGTTTAACCTATTAAGTAGAATTTCTTTTAACTGTTATTAAAGACAAAAATAAACAAAAGGTATTTATTTATTTTATTGTGATATTTGCCTGATTCATAAAAATTTAAATATATCTGAAGAATGTCTTGTGTTTACTTTTGGAGTACAGATCTACTTTCACTTGCACAAGTGTGAATTAATCAGAAATGGAGCTGGCATATTTTAGGACTTTCTTCTGTGAACCTTAAATGAATAAAAATACTTGTGTGTTTAATTATTTGGATGTATGGGCCTTCTCTCATACGTATCGACTGTCTGCCTTTCTACTTAATGTGTTGTTTGCTAATATTATCCCTATTGTTATATTACAGATCACCCATTTCAGCAGTATGAGTATTAAATTTACTAATTAAGTTCCATAAAGACAAAGTGATAGGTTCTGGGTTTTGTTTGTTAACGTCTAAGAATTTTAATTAGATGGTTTCCCAGCCCCCCTTTCAATTACAAGACATTATTGTTGTAATCAGACATGGTGAATAGATAACATTTTAGGATATATTTTTAACAGAAATCCTTTTTGGTCATCCAGTGATTGCATCTGTTTGTGACTGATGGTTTTTGGTTTTGGGATTAAGCAATGGTTGCTGTGTTTGAGTATCCACACACTTCAGCTGAACTAACCAAAGCACAAAATTTGAAGTTAATGCTGACTTTCCTCTGGCTCCATAATAGAGGAGAGTACCTAATTTAGCATAAACCCTGCTGATACAAATTTTTAATCATCATTTTCTGACAAAGCTTGAAATCATTAGGGTGAGTTTATGACAATCAACGCTATCTGTCATTTTTATTCTGCTACTAAAATGATCAAGGCTGGATTTTCTATATTGTTGAATCATTGCCTTAGATTGCAGCTCCACTATGAATTTATTCTGGTCTACTTTCTTTTCATGCCTCTGACTCGTGCTGGTGTATTTGTGACCATATGTTGGATCAGATTCAGGAACTGATCCAGTTAAACTAATTTAGAAAAACAAAACAAAATTAGTTTTAACTTGCCTCAGTTCTCTAATCAGGTTTGTTGTGTTACTGCATTTGTGCTGGGCTAAAAGAAGAGTATTGATAGAAGGAACAATCAGTGAAGTGTACTGAAGGAGGAAGGAGTACTTGTTTCTGGTTCAGTGCCAGCCATATGCTGATGTAAAGTGTTCACATAACTATGATCTTAAAGTTATATACTGGATCCCAAGCAGTGCCAGTGGATATGGGTAAAATGTGAGTGAAATGATCTATATGGAATCATGAACTGATAATAAAAATAAGAAGAAATTGTGCTGCTGGATCAAAAAGAAATTAAATTTTTAACTTGCATTTTACTAAATTTCACTTTTTTTTTAATGAAAATTCTTGTAATGGTAATACAGAGAAATAGTTCAGGCAAAAAAAAATTACATTCTTGTCTTTTTATGTGATTCTCCTTAAGATAAGCATCCTCTTAATGCATTTCCTCCTCTTCTTTTCCCTGCTTCTTCTTCTTCTTGATTCTATATGGTATTTTCAAATTCATTGAAACATTACTCTTTTTAAGGTTATCACCAACCTTGGGCCTCTGGAGTGGATTCTTAATACTCCCAGTCATCACAGAGTTCATCATGGTAAACTAAATGTGAAATTTCTTATTCCTCAGTGTGTTTTTTCTCATATACATTGTTTGTGTAATAATAAAATACTAAAATTGTACTATAAAATTAGTTTTACAGAAGGATTTTAAATTTGATCATGGCTTCAAAAATAGTTCCTGTTTAGTTAGGAATTTCACAATATTTTAAAAAGCTTTTTTATAACTTTAATTTCAAAATTTTTACATTTAAGATTAATTATTGAGCAGAAATTAAGCCTGGATATTGTGAAATAATTTGAAGATCTTGAGCAAAACAGTTCAACGTTTATAAATATAAAGAGTGATAGAAAAATATCTCATCCTTTCCTGACTACTAAAACATCATCAACTTGTCAATCACTAACAGATCCTTTTGCATTCAAATTAAAATACTGAAAGTGTGAAAAGACATGGTTACCTTTTGGAAGAAGAGCTGTTAAATGTTTTAGTGGAATTTAGTTTCAGCTGTCTGAATTACTGAAAAATCTCACTTCACACAAGTGCACGATGATTGACTTTTTGTCAATATTCAGAGGCATTCAAGACCTTACTGCAGATGTAAATTGGATTAATAACTCCACTGCATACTGAAAAATGTCAGAAACATATCTGAGGAATAGAAGTGGATTTCATGGATGTCCTTGTCTCATTCAGTGTGCAGAGATAGCAAGTAAAAAAGTAACAGGCGAATGGAAAAACAAAATAATTTGAAACAGACTCAAATGCAGTTATATGTACAGAGGATGTTATTAATATGTATTATATGCTCCATGTGTAAAGTGTTTATGGCACTGTGTAGACTTTTTAAAAAGTCTGTAGTACTGTAAGTGTCTAATCCTTAAAATTTGCACAAGTACTGGTAATCCTGAAGGGAGACACTCTGCTCTTATTTGCTCTGCTGTAAATCCAAACTAATCTTCTGATCCTGATCGGAGTTAGGCAGAATCACTCTGGAGCTGATCAAGTGTTACATAGTCACTCCAGACAATCTCCACAAACTTGCAGATACGTAATCAATGTTTCTTTGCTGATACTTTTGATAGGACAATTTATATACAAATACATTCCCTAGAAAACAGATAGAAGAATCGGTTTTCCTCACACTGTAGTTAATAATAATGAAGGCAGGATCAGATATATGGCATAGAAGATAGAGACAGCTGGAAGCCATTAATGAGATGATTGTGCATAAATGTATTTGGCATGTATTTTCTTAGGTATACACTGGGGAAATTATTTTTTGTTTGCTTTTTAATTGCATTTATAAATATATTTTGAACTGAATTTGCTCTTCAAATGAATCCTTTTATTTCACAGAAATTTGGGGTGTGACATGTTTGATTTGTATGTTTGAATCTGAGTAGAAAGAGAGCAAGAACCCTAGTAAGAAAAATAAATTTTATAGACATATAAGGAGTGGTGGGTTAGCAACCTTTAAAAATTATTTTTATATTATAGATTGATGCTGCTGATGAAGATTTCCCTTCATAATTCAGTTGCATGTTTTCTTACATATGCAATTACTGGTTTCATAAATGGTTTTTATTATAGGTAGAAATCCTTACTGCATTGACAAAAATTATGGTGGCACACTCATTATCTGGGACAGGATATTTGGTAAGTAAACAAAAGGTGTTCTCTCTCGTGTTTAATTAGTGTGGCAAAAATATGTATACTTTTGCATTTGATTGTTGGTTGTTCTTTTTTTTCTTCCGTCAGGAACATTTGAGGCAGAAGATGCAAAAGTTGTTTATGGCTTAACACATCCAGTAAATTCATTTGATCCCATCATGCTCCAGGTGCTATAGTTTGTATTGTTTACTCTGGTATCTTCAACAGCACTCATGTTCAAAAGAAACTCGTCTCTTAGGCACAATTGAGGCCATCCTTGCATTGCTGCACAGTCAATTAAATTATCTACAATTTCTTCAGTATTTCATTACAAAGCAATTATTTCTACTCACTGCATTGAGCATATGCAGAGTTTGTAGTCATCATGAAAATACAATACAGTAAAATTAACAACTAATTACAGTGGCAATATAAGAGGCCTTGGACTGAATGATGTCCATTTTGCCATATACAGACCAATATGCAGTGAAACACAGACAGAAATATATATTTCTTCTGTTATTTGTCTTATCTTAATATTGCTATTTCATAAATAATCCCATGCTGCAATATCTTTACTATTTTTAACTCTTCTGAGTATTTGCTGTTCAAGGTACTCCAGAATGATTTGTGTTGACAGCATTATAGAGCAACCATCAACAAAACCTCCAGAACAGATTAAATATAGGTTTTTTAATTAAAATAAAAATAAAATAGAAGAAAAAAAGAAGAAAAAAAGAAAAAGTACTTAGTGTGGTGCTTCTGAGATTTATTGGTCTGGGTTTCACTTAAACTGGATAAAAATTCTCTGTAAAAACCTCAGGGACTGAGGAGTATTGAAGTCCCTGTTGGCTTTTCATGAGAGCTCATTCAAGGAGTGCATCCCACAGAATGAGAAATTCTACCAGTAAGAGTGTCTGGTCTGGAAGCTGGAAGAATGTCCGTAACCTGTGCAATTATATCCATTCCAGTCAGATACTAAGTAATTTAGTTATTGGGAGTATGTCATGTCAACGTCTCAGTAACCAAAGTCTAGTTTAAAACTACCATAAATATAGCTATACAATATATTGTTAAATACGCTGGATTGATTACAGGAGAGACAGATTTTCCTCTGGCAGAAGTCACTGTAATCCTCACTGTAAACCAAGGGCCTGATACAGCTCATGCTGATTTCATTCAGGTTTTCAGAACCTCTGACTGTCTTCATCTATTCCTAATTTATTCTCTTTATGGACTTTGAAAAATAATTTACTTGAGAGCTAAAAATGAATAAAATATAATGTTTTATTAAATTTTATTTTACTAACAATGAAAAATTACTTGCTCTTTTTTTCAGTTACGTCCCTTGGCTCATATTTGGAACACATTTTGGGCCACACCTGGATTCTGCAATAAGCTTTCTGTCATATTCAAAGGCCCAGGCTGGGGACCAGGCAAACCTAGACTTGGCCTTCCTGAGGAAATCCCGGTGGTAAATAGAACATGCACAGGCTTTCAGTTTTGTGTAATTTACTTGGACCTCTTAATGCTACTGGATCAATGTTAAAAACTCTACACATGCTATTTTAAATTAGCAAATTAGCAGTCATAAAACATAGGGGAAGATGAAATGGGAACAGAAACTAAAGGAAATTAATGTTTTAGCTGTGCTTTTTTTTGTTTTATTTGAAGGAAAAAAATATTTTTTATTTATCTTTTCATTATTTATTTCCTAAAGAGATTTTCAAAATAGTTCTATAGAATATGGTAATTTCTCTTTTTCTTTTAGCTGTGAACATACATGCATACACTGTCTCTCACTAGGTAGTACATAGGTTTGAGAGTGGATCCTCTTTGTGCAGTTATCTATGTCCCTTAATCTTTTTTGTGTTTGTAAGTATAAAGAATACTAAAGAATAACAGGCTGAAGCAGGTCACTGTTGAAGACTGTTATCTGTTTTGCTTCATACAGATCACTGGAAAAGAAGTTCCCTTCAATCCAAGTGTACCAGCTCATCTTAATTGTTACGCAGTTGTGCATTTTGCTGTAATAATAGACTTGTATACTGAACTGCTTGGTACTGTGACTGTAAGTAATTCCTATCTTTGTGAAATAGCACCTCTTGCTAATAGTAATATGACACACAGCATATTTAAATAATAAAGCATTAAATAGAGTCTCTGCAGCCTGACTGATATCTTATTTAAACTATTATAGTAATAACTAGATTCTGTAAAAAGAATCAACATAAATGGCTAAATATATAATTAAATCATAATAAAAATATAATGTTTTATTTTGTTTAGTAAACAATATTTAATAATCATATTAATTATTTATGTATCAATATGCTTAATTTAAGCAATCAGATGAAAAAATAATAAATTTCCATAGAAGACAAATATGTCTTCTTCAGTTTTTAGGACCTCATGAGAGGATAAATGTGTCTCAGACTTGAAACTGTGCAGGTTTTAAGATGTCAAGGTTGGTCATGTTATTAGATATGAAGAAATGCCCAAATTTTAGAAGGAAGATTGCAAAGGTCTTGTGGTGCTTGCAGGTGGGAAGCCTAGTGTCAGCATGAGTTCAGAGTGGGAGGAGCACCGACTCAGGGCAAATCCTTCTTCCAGTCTGGAACATACAATGGCATTGATAGAAATACAGCAAGGAGAGGCATGTATTTACCACTCGCCTTTGGGCTGAAAAGATCTCCTTGGTTCCTCCATATATGCTTGACAGTCTCTGAAGATGAACTACGAGGCCATGTCTGCCTACAAGAAGTGAGACATTAACTGCTTCCATGGCTTCACACCCTTCCAACCTCTTTTTCATTCTTCCTTCCTTGACAACACTTTCAATTTTACTAAGGCTAACATCTCCTAGTTATGAACCATAATTTTAATGCATCTGATATTCCCACAAATCAGTCAAAGACCTATCAAAACACCACAGAAGTCTGTCAGTTTGATAAACACTCTTTGGCCTTCATCCTGAACCCTTTCTAAGACCTCCCTGGTTAAAGAGCATTCTTGTGTTTTGTGTCACCCCTGTTGCCACAGGCCTGCTGCCAGGGTGCCAAAGGCCCCCTGGGTTCTTCAGCCTCTGCTCATCTGTGGACCTGCCTTGTCCCAGCACACTCACCTGGTGATCTCCAGCCCTTGGCCAATGGTGGTTACTGTTCCCTGCCCACCTTGATGCACACTTTCTGGTGGGACCACGGCTCTGTCCACTGGCTGCCACTGGCCCCCCTGCCCCATCCTCAGGGAACAGCCCCTCTTGCTGCCTCCCAACGCCTTTGCCCATGACTGAATCCAGCCAAGAAGCACATTTCTAGAAATAAGCCTCTTTGGCATATCTGACCGTGGTTGTCCATAAAGGATTCCAGAGGACTGCAAAGCCATTTCAAAGCTGTCAGAAATCTTGTCCCAACGTCGGTTTTTTGATTTTCCAGTTCAGATATTCCTCTTACATCCCAGGGCAAGAAGGGCAGGAGAGGGACTCTGCCTGCAATAATTTCCTGGGCTACATGGCAGCAGGCTTATAGCAGATCTGGCCGCTCTGAATATACTAGCTGCTACAGCCCATTTTTCTTCCACGTTTTCGATTAGATGAATTCTGAGTAGTACATCAGACCAGTAGAATGATGCAATTTTTGAGAAAAGTTTTAAAAATATTTTAGGTAGCATTCCCTATATAATATAAAAACTACCTCAGACATACTCTTCTGATTAGGATTAAGTTATTCTACACATTGTGTTCACCTCTGTAGAGGGTCAAACTGCAACTGCAGGGAATTCAGACATTACTAAGCCATCGGAGGCTTAGTCTATTCTAAGTAATTTCTGAGGACAGGAAATTAAGCCAAATGTAAGGATAAATACCTCCAATATATACAAGATATACTGTATACATGATTGCCAATGTTCTTATATTGAGAAAAGCCTCTGCAAGATTTTCTGGATATGCTTCTAGATTCCTACATCCCAGAAGCAATATTTTCATAGGGATCAATCTGTGGTTTTTTTGTTTGTTTAGTTTTTTGGTTTTTACTTTGTTTCTGTTGCTCTTAGCAGCAAGAAGTAAGGAGTCTGCTCATAAATGTTTTCCTATTTCATTCTCTTTTTGTCTTTTTCTGGTCCTGGAAGGAAAAATGGATGTTCCAAATTATTTTCTCTGCTGATAACTGCAGCTGTTTAAGAATAAGTAATAGGGAAAGTTGAAAAATGCACCCTAGCCCCAGATGATAATTAAATTCTTGCAATTGTGGAGGAAACATCCTGAAGATCCACCATTTATGAACTTATTGTAGAAAAACAACTATAAAATTCTCTGCACAAAATTGCAGGGTAATAAGGTAGTAAGGATAAGATGGAGAGCATGGGGGACTAGAAGCACCTCATCTCAGGACATAAACCTTCAGCGTGGGTGTAGAAAGTGCTGGTCCCAAGGCAGAGTTCCAGCATCACTCTGCAGTACAGTGGGGAAGCTGTCATGAGAAGGAAGCTTGTGTATGAATAACTTTACTTGGCAAAAATCTTTCTTCAATATCACTTTTCCACTACACTGAGTTATGAAATGTCTATGGATACAACTGGAACTTTCTGTCTGGCTATGAATTATGTCATAACTGTGGCATAGCTCCATAAATGGAGAAAGCTAACTGTTTTCCTCATTTTTAGGTATAAGTTCCATTTCATAATAGCCATAAGACACAGCACACAGCTATTACATTTCTCAAGTGATTACAGTTGCTCAGTGTTTGGTCTCACGCCCTGCAGAAGTGTTAAATTTCTCTATTCGTAAAGAGCAACCATATACCTTCAGTCTGAATGACCTACATTTAACTTACAAAAAGAGCAAAACAAGAAAGAACAATTATATATTTTCCACAGGAGAGAGCATACAGTGTTTATTTTCTATATAGCGATCTGCACTACATCCAGAGAATAAAAATGACTTCTGACCTCTCCACATCTAGATCTGATCCAAAGCTCATTGAAGAAAGGGGATTTGGATCAGTCCCAGAGAGAGTGCTAGGAGTGTAAAACTGCAGTACATTCAAAGCAAAAGTCTCATAGCTCCAGAACTGCATGTATCACATAAATCAAAGTGATGTGTACCTTAAACACATTCTGCAGTGTCTTTTTTTATTGCTGACAGATACTGTAGCATTTACTGTGCTTCTAATGCTATGAATATGTGAGCAGTTTCAAATAGATGAAAAGTTGTAAGGGATAAGATAGATCTCTTGAAAGCTGAAAACACCATTAATATATCCATTCAGTAGGACATCACCAAGTACTGTATATGGAATATTGCTAAGAATTTACAATTTTTTTTAGGAATTCTAAGTTTAAGTAAATCCATACAAAGACACCTAACCATACAAATTTCATAGCATTGTATTAGCATTCTTAATTTAAACATCAAGTGTCTGATATCTGACAGCAGAGCATATGTTAACTTATGAAACGTGCTGACATCGTTTCTAGCAGTTCTTTTGAAACACTGAACACATCAGGATGAAAAAAATACATCCATGTCATTCTTGAAAAGGAATAAAACAATCTGATTTTTTTGAAATATAAAGTCAATTTGGAATATTTCAATATTCATCTAGATATACATTTGGAGTAACATTTCATTTGTGTAAATTAATTATTTTTTAATTACTACAAAAATATAAAATAATAATACTGTGGCATTCTGTTGATTACAAAGCCATCTAAACTTCTTGCCATATTGTATAACCACCCCCTCTTTTTTTTTTTTTTTAAGGCTCCAACATATTTTTAAAGCTTTAAATGAAATCAAAATCCAACAGAAATATTTTTTTCTGTTTGATTGCAGCCAGTAACCACATTGCAGAGTTGTGGCTGACTTGTAATTGGGGAACCTGCTGAGGTCCCACAGGCTTCTCTGTTTATACAAATACTCCAGTATATAAATACTCATTTAGTTTGTGTATACATCCTTGCATATTATGTTTAAGTGGAATGAGGATTCTAGCTAGAAATGAATGTGTAATAGGCACATTCTTTTCACACTGCAACTTGCTGTGTGTAGATTTAATATATGATGTTTAATTTAGTGATATAACCCATTGACTATTTTGTTGATTTTGGTAGAGTAATGCCTAGAAAATGGATGCTTCAACTGCCAGCATCTACTTCATAAGGTGATACATGTTTGAAAGAAAATAAAAGAGTCAGGGCAGCATGTAACTATACTACTGGAGCTGTAAACAGAAAGTTATGGAATCGAATTAATAATCCTAAAATTTATGCTACATGACTGGGTTTCTAAAAACTGTTATTCCCAAATGACATTGTGGTTTATTTCACCACAAATTTCTTGGTAGTCCTTGACTAGGAGCACAAATGAGGGAACACATTTTTTTTGCTGTATGTAAATGTGGTGTGTGTGGCTACAGTGAAGGGTAACTTATGCCTTCTACTGTCATGGTTCCCAGTAAGGCTTTATACCTCACTCTTAATCACTCCAGAAAGCTGAAGACCTGGGAAGTGGAAAGCTGCAGCAGTGTACTCGTGCGTTACAGTGCCATGAATTTGTGTGATTTTGATGAAAGTGCCAGTTTACAATTAACTGTGATCAGCAGGTTGTCCTTTAGAGTCCTCCAGTCCTTCACATTCTGGACCACAGATCATATTGGACAATAAGAAGTTTTACAGACAGCTAGTGTTCAGAATGTTATGATTCAAGAAGGAGAATGTCTGAAAAGAAATGGAAATTAGCCTGAAAAACTGAATCTGTAAAATATGATCATACCTGTCTCAGGTAGTTATTATGCTAAAGAACCTCATATAGCATTTTAACCATTCAAAGATAAAGGCTTGTTTATAGTTGAGTTTGATTTTCCTAAATTATAAGGTTGCTTCTGTTCTGATTTACTAACATACATTAAAATGTATTTCTATTCCCACTTCTTTTCTGGAAATCCATGTTTAAAACTGAACTGCAATTTATTAGTTTTCTTTCAAGTTCTTAATCAATGTGGAGAGTCAAATGGTAACTCCTGGCTTCAGTTTTTCACAATTTAGAGAAAATGTTTAAGAGAAGTTTGCAGGGTCACACTCCAAATTCTTGTACTCAATTCTTTCTTCCTTTGTGGAGGAAAGCTGCAGTCTGAATTACAGTATTACAGTGTCTCTAATATCAATCTTATCATTATTTCAAGGTCCATCAACAACAATATAATAGAACAACAATAAAAATTGTTTCCTGAAAATATTTTAACTTTAAAAGAGTAATTTTAATTTTTTTTATTTTTTTTTCCTACTCTTCTAGAAATGGCAGTTAAAATACCACTTTTAGGAAAGAAAAAATGATAGAAGTTATGACCCAAAATTGTCTGCTTTGGAGAAATGTTTTCATCATCCACTCAAACCCAATTCTTAGTGCAGGGACCAAATTTAGCTTCTAGACTTGCAGTCTAGCTAATGGGAAGAAATAAAATAACTCAAAATGTGCTCTCTTTCCACTGATTACAGAGAAAGCTTAGATTAATAACAGGTTTTTAGGCACTTCAGTAAAGGTACTTAAAGGAAGGTAGAATGTATCAGCACCTCAGTTTTCTGAAACTGCAGTCACAAGGAAACCCAGATGCCTAGGACTTGGTGACTGGTTGTCTAATGCTAGTCAGCTTGGAAGCACAGGGAGGGCAGAAAAGTGTGAAATCATGGAGCTCTTTTAAATTGGAAATTGGAGACATCCTTGTTCATTAATAGCAGGTACTTCTGGATCTTTCCTGAAGAGAAATGTTAACATTTGTTGTCTCAAAACCATTGCAGGTTCATTAATTTTCCATAAAGTGTGATTTCAGCCATATACTGTAATTTAGCATTTACATATATTGCAATGTAGGAATTGAAATTTGGATTTGATATTCAGTTCCTTTTCCTGCCTAAGGAGGATACAAAACCTTATGTTCCTTTTCTCAGAATAGCGCCCTACCACTGTGGGAATATTTTTAAAGCAGTCTGTAGAAGCTACTGCATTGCACTGGAAACACAAAGCAAAATCAGACCCACCTGGACAGAAAGACTAGGTTTAAAAAAAAGGTGTGATTCTGCAACTTATAAGTGAGGACAGTCTCTGAGGAGGAGAGTCTTGAATTTCACTTCTAGTTCCCTGGCAAACTCCTTGATTTGACAAGTAACAATCACTGAAAAACTTACCAAAGCATTTCTAAGAAATTTATGGGTGAGTTCCCTTATGCCTGTGCCAAATCATGTTTTTCTTTGCTGACTTCTTGAATTTTTCTATGACCCAGTTTCTATAGGACTTTGAAGTGAGAGTTGAATTCACTGTGGCTAGATGAGCAGTTTAAGAACTTCTCATATTAATAAATAGAGTCTATACCTGATTTTTGTAAAAAAAATTTCCAAAAATTTTGTCACTTCAAAACACATTGTTTCATGTTAACAATGGAAAGTCTTTTAAACTTAGGATAGCTGTTGGATTTTTGGATTCTAGAAACTGAAGTTTTCAAAAAGAGCAGCCTCAATTTAATCTTCTATTGGCATATTTTAAAACTTGTATCTGGAATTCGCAAGTGTATTCCAAGTGATACAAATCTTGGTAAAAGATGTTAAGCCCATTAGAACATTTTTTGCTTTCTTGACTTAAGTGAGAGTCTCAACACATAACTACTATACTGAGTACACCCAGTGTTCAATATCTATCTCAATATCCTGTCTCCTGTGATGACTGATAGCAGATGCCCAGGGTAAGAATGTAAGAAAAGTGTAAAAAATATCCTTTCTCAGGGCCTACATATATGTAGATGATGGTGGTAATCATCAGTCTGAGGTTTTGTAAGTTTACCATAAGGAAGGATGGAACAGATTGGAAATGGAGCAATGCAGTAATGCGTTTGATCTGTCCTGGTGTAAACCTGTGCAACAGAGTGTCTTAACAGGTGTCATTTGTGAGAAATGTGTTCTGGCTTGTAAACCGGTGAAGCTGCTGTTTAGCTCGCTCCTTGCTGGGATTGTGTTTTCTTCATTCAGTAACTATTTGTTAAGGATATCCAAGTAGGTGCTTGTGATTCTTCAGTCAAACAACAGAAACCTGCCCAGCCTGAGTGTGTGGTTTGATGTGTTTTGCAAACATGGGCACTGTAAGTTCACACAGCTGTAAAACTTGAGAATATTCTCCTGTGGCCTCCCACACTCACAGATACTTACCTTAGATCTCTTTGCAGGGTAGGGGCCACCACTGAAGGAAGGTGAGCCTGTCACTGAGTGGGACTTGTTGAAATCAGGGCAGACATTCATAGATTTTTATTTTTCCAATGCCTGCAGTCTTGAAGTGCAAGATGCTGTTAATAAACCTTACTGCTATTGAAGCCAGAAAGGATTCCTATAACTCAGCTAGAGTCACTAATTTTGTTTTGGGTTTTTTGTTGTTTTTGAAATGAAAAAACAAAGGCTTTTCAACACTAATATTTTAAAGGAAGTCAGGGAGGGAACAAGAACACTGATTAAATATTTCATTTCCAAAGGCAACTGTGTAGAATACAAGAAATATTTGATACATGAAAAGAAAAATTTCAAACTTCACAATGTAAATAATTTCTGTTTTCCTGACTTTTGTTTATATCATTTCAATGTAAATTTTAAGGACATAAATACTCATGCTGCTATTCGTCCAAATACTAACACATATGTTAATGTTTAAAAGTGGTTTATGTCTGATTGAAATTAATGGTATGAGTTGAAGAGTTTTGCTGATTTGGGAACCAAGTGTCGGGTTGTCATGAAGGGACATTAATTTTGTTTCTTCTTAAATATGGCCATATTGTCACATCATGTGAATTCTTATTCTAACCTACGTATTGGTTTTGGTATCCATTGGGATTCATAGATGACTATTGTAAAGACTTGGTAACATAAGATGAAGAAAAAAACAGAGCTGCTTGGATTTTTATCTAGAAATAAGTTTGTTCCCTCTTGGGTAAAGACATAAGGTAGTCAAGTAACTTTGTGAAAACAGTACAGAAGCGAATGTCATAAACATTATTTTGGAAATACAGCATTCAGGAAACAATTAAAAAGGTAGTTACTCCAGATGAGTGTGCTCTCCAGGGCACAAATTTTTGTTGTAAAATTTGAAGTAGCAAATTACTTTAAAAGCAGACAGTAACATCACTGAGTAAGGAAGTTGAAGCTACTGTTCTGATAAAACTCAATTTCTCTTCATAACATTACTCTAATTGTATTCCTTGTCTACTTTTTAACAGATGTTATCACAGGGAACTATCCTCCTGAGAATTGGCTTTATCATTCTGTCCCTGACCTCTTTTGGACTTCTTGTAGAGAACAGGTAAGATACAAAACACGCTTTTTATTTTTCCTTCTCTTATTATGCATTGTTTATCATTATATGGAAACCTCAAGTGTGTCAGAAATTATATTAATAAAGAACTATAGACACACTTGGACACATATGTTGCTGTCGACTAGAAAATAGTATGTGACTAGCTTGTACCTAAACCCATGAGTGTTTCATAGCAATTAATGGCTAGATCTATATTGTCCCTTGCACAAAGGTTACAGCTTGGGCTACTCATGTCACCCTCTCTGCTTGCATTTTCTGGGTCTGCATCTCTGGGTTTGGCACACTGACAGGCCAGTGAGACCTGCAGGCTGTCACAAGGCTGTTCAAGCTGAGACTGCAACGATATTGTCACTCGTGCCTAGCATGCTGTAGGTCTCAGACACAGTGATGAAAAGCACCCAGTGGAGCTCAGGGTAGACTCAAAATCATGTGAAGGATGGTGTAGACTTAAGACTGAGTTTAATCAGTATGAATTCAAGTCAAATTGAATCTTGAATACACCAGCCCAGTGAGACGTACATTATGGAAGTAGTCCATATGGGCAGTGTGACCCTGCAGAAGACTAAATAGCAGCTACAGGTTCTTACAAAGAAACTATTTACCCTGCCAGATCATAAATGTGGAATAGAAGCTTCCTTTGATATTGAGGTATCAGCTCTGCTTTGCATCTGCTGTTCATTGTTTTCAGAAAGGTGTACCTTTCACTTGTATGGATTGAACATTTTATTTCAGGATAAGTAAAAATCTGTCAATATGCCAGAGGTGTGTATAATTTAGGGAATTAATAGTGTGCATTAGTAAAAGTTTACAGAAATAGACCAATGAAAATATTCTGAACTACTCATGTAGCAGTTTTCAGAATTTTGCTGTTGTAATTTTTGAGATCAAAAGACAATAGCTACATATACAGATACACTGGTGTGAACTCATGTAGAGGTTGTGGGTATGTGTATTCTCACCTCCATCAAATTCAGTGTTATAAGTCCATGTAAGGTGTATACTATGGAAACTTAATTATAAGATTAAGAAAGATGACTTAGTGTAAGTGTAGGACACCACAGACTATTTCTACATTCTCTTTTTTACTGAAGTTAACAAAGAAGAAAAGATTGGATGTTAATCTGAATTACTTCCTGTTTCTAGGCCCAAAGCAGGAATTTTGGAAATCATCCGTTGCTTAGTTTTCATAGGTGTGTACAAACTTGGCTACGTAAGGAGTCAGTTTTTTTACTTGGGCTCTGCATATGAGGTAAGACATTTATTTTGGAATGTCTATGCTGATGACTCTAGATTTCCTATCATTTTAGCAGAACCACTAAACATTTATATTTTGCTCCCTTATTTTTTATTATACTATTTGAGTGGAATATTGATTTATTTCTTGTGTCTTAATTTCTCATCTTTTGTGACTAACTTATAAGAAAATTATTGGGTTTTGCTGTAGAGATGCCAGTTTTCTTTGAAAAAAGTCAGGAAAGTGTATACTTACCATTTCCTGCAAAAATAATATATTAGTGACTATATCCTTTGAAGTGAATAATAGAAATGTGTTGCTGAATTTGAATTTATTAACTCACCTTTCATGGAACAGATTTGAAAATGATTGGAGGCTGGAATAGTCTTAAATATCAAATATTTGGTTCTGTATTTATACTGTATCTGAGAAACGGACTTTTTTGACAAAGGTAGGTTACTGGACTAAACAGACCTTTGGTCTGATAAAGTATGGTTGCTTTTGTGTTCCTAGGATTTATTTTTATCCTGTTTGTGGCTTTTGCTTTTTAATCTACTTTTTTTTTTTTTTTTTTTTTTTCCCCAGTACAGGTGGTATTTCATAATAACTCATTTAATATTATCTGAATGAAATAACACTGAATCATTAATATGATTCTGATCTGGATAACATTCCCAAGCTACCTAGTGCTGGTTATCAGCAAAGACAGTTATCAGCAAGGTTATGAGTGGGTTGCTGGACTAGTAGAACTGTTATCAGAAAGCTACCTTTTGGTTTAAAACCAGAAAAAAATAAATAAAACAGTAGGGATTGAGACTTAAACCAAGTTCAAAATGGTTCCTTTGACTTGAAACATCTGCAAAATTTATAGAAACTTTCCTAATTGGAGGTTTCTGGTGGTTGTGCTGATACTCCTGCTTTTCTAAAAGATCAGAGATCAGGCAATAGAAGAATTGAAAAATATCTTATGGTACAGTGGGTACTTTTTTTTTTTTTTTTTTTTTTTTTTTTCAGCTGGGATAAGAAACAATAACTATTGGACAATATTTAAAGCTAGATAAATGCCATTAATCAAGAATTGTTCTGATTTTTTTCCCCCATATTGTTACATTGTCAAAGCTTTGGTATATAAATCAAAGTCCTTGAATTACTTTGATAAGAGTCTGCCAGAATTCCACAGATATTTTAAGGATTTTACTTGCTTAAATAGCATTTGGAAAATGTTTATATTTTTTATTGAGTAGCCTACTACAGTAGATAGTGTTGAAGTAAAGAATTCTAAAATTTGGAAATTAATTTTATAGCCTTTGAGATACAGATCTTAGACTTGAATTATTCAAGTATTCTAACTGAATCTGTGGAGAGTTATATTTTGAAATATACACTCTCAATAAAAAAAAAAAAAAAAATCATGTACTTGCCTCCTGAGGAGTGTACGTGCATATGCAGAAGTGTCGCTTACTAAGGAACAAGTAGAACTAAAGTTATCAAGTTGTTATTTCTGTTGTTTGTAGGGATCTATACAGCTTCTTATTCTTTCATGAAGAAGAAAATAAAATGAAATAGTTCTTACTCTGTTATTTTTATGTATCTGTCATTAAAATTTTAACTTTATTGCCATCCTGAGTTTTTCCCTACTGTACTTTTCTATCCTCTCTTCTGCCTAATGTTTTTCCTTTTATCCTTTATATTCTACTCCTGTGTACACTTTTTTTAGTCCCTTGTTTGGCACTAAGTAGTCCATTTTTAACAAGAAACAGGAATACCTTGAGCAAATTTTTTCTTTGAAAATACTGGAAGAATATGTGTCTTCCAAATCATTTGCTCTCAGGGAGATCAGAATAGATAGTGCTTCTGAGTAATGCCAGTATGTCAACACTAGAGACATTTTATCATAAATCACAAGTTTGTGACATTAATAGTTTTTGTGATCATCTAGTCTTTTTGTGGTCATCTAGTCCAACGCCCCTGCAATGGGCAGGAACATCTTCAATTAGATCAGGTTGCTCAGAGCCCCATCCAACCTGATCTTGAATGTTTCCAGGGATAAAGCATCTGTCACCTCTTTGGGCAACATGTTCCTGTGTTTCACCACCTTCATTGTAAAATATTTCTTCCTTATATCTAGTCTGAATGTTTGTGATGAACTTCAAAGGGTCCCCCATTTTGATATAAATGATCCACTTCTGCTCTCAATGCATTATACAATATCTGGATTCATGGTAGGAATGTTCTTACAATTGGTAATATTGTTATAATGGGATTTACGATTAAAAAATACTGAAATTTTGAACCAGCAATACCAGAAAGCATAATAAATAAATAAATAACATGTTTTCTCATAAATTAGATCTAAAATTTGTTCTAAAAATTGTTTCTGTTCAAGATTCAACTGTTTATCTGTCCGTCATGGTATCATAGTGTAGATAACTTTGAACATCTTGTAGGCTCATAAACATAGATCTATCTATCTCATAATCCACTTTTTAAAGTTCTGCTAGGTATGTCCTAGCAATTTTTATCTGCTTGCTTTTCAACTTCCTTTGCTCTGTTTCATTTTAAAATCCACTTACAATTTTTGTGAGGTGTAAATTAAAACATTTATTTAATCTTTTTGTTTGCCTCTTGTAAATATTCCATTTTTAACATATACCTAGATTTAGCCGACTTCGATATTTTTAATGATATATTTCTAGTACTCCTAATCTATAATATACTTTAAAAATGTCCTCCTTACATCATCGTCCTTATAAGTCACCAAATAAACAATTCTTTAGTAATCCAGTATTCCTGAGCAATAGGAATGAATGCACCACATCATGTGAAAGAATTTCTGTTGACTTTTTTTTTTGTCTATAAATTATGCCTTTCAGAGCACACACTTAGAAATGAAGAAAAATGAACCGCAAGAGGCATGATAGCACTACTCAGTGTGTCTAGAATTTAACAAATAATTCTGTCCCAGCATTCTTGAGTTAATGTTGCATGTTGTAGCAGATAAGTGCAAGACTGATTTTGCCAACAGCGTGTTGGATCATTAGTGAGAAAGTATGTGACTCCTGTCTATACGTTGTTTTTTTCTGTAACTGCATTTCATGTGTTCATAGTTCTCATTAATATTTTAGAGCAAGTATATAAGATTTCAGATATTTGCAATAGTATTTACAGGGTACTCTAACTACCACAAATAGGTGATTTAAACTGCAAATGATTGCACTTGGCTCATATGAGGTTCTGACAATTATCAGAACTACTGAATGGGAGGAAGGCCTTCTAGGTGAAAACTAGACGGAAAATATGGAAGAAATGAGAGAAAAATAGGTGAGCAGTGAGAGAGAACAGAGGAAACAAGGAGTGAGCCTTTCTCATTTGACATTAAATTAGCTCAGGTGGATGTGGAAAAAAGCTAAGGATTGCAGGTCCAGCAGGAGGAGCTGTCTTACCCTTGCTGCCCAGCTAATGAGGGTTAGCCAGCTGGTCTGACTTAGGCATCCAAAGATTCTTCTTCAGATAAGTGATGCAATTTGCTGTGAAGCAAAAAAGGTTTCTAATGGTGAGGCTCAGGGAAGGTAGAAGTGAAATGGAGGTGTGTAAGAAGGAAGGACTTCTGCTTTTGCTAAAGCTGCAATCTTAATATGTTTGTTAAATGTGTCTACAGTCTAGTAAGTACAGCATTGGATCTATTAATACTTTGCAGTTGTGTGTTACCAGTCTTGGTTCCATGAGAAAATTATGTTGTTTTTCTGATAATTTAAAGATATTGTTTTCCCTGCTATTGTATCTGAAGTCTTTCCAAGTTATACTCCTGGGGAATGTCTCCCAGTGTCCTTTCCTTCTCCAAAGAGGACAATAATTTGAAGTTATCAGGGTTAGAAAAATTACTGTTTTTTCCATATGGGGTGTGGAACAATGTATAGTTCTCAGCATGAATTTTATATTCCTTGTGCTGTATGTATTTCATATGGATTGTTAGGTGAAAGAAGCAGGGTTTTTTTGGTGTTTGTGTTGTTTTGTTTGGTTTTTTTTCAAGAAAAAAAATGATGATGTTTGAGGAAAATTTTAGATCTTAAGAAAATTGTTTCTTGGATGGAGGTCACTGAAAACCTTGTTGATAGAGGCAGAGATCTATTTGACTGGTTATGGACAATAAACTGAGGAGATAATGTGTTTCTGCTCGAGGATATATGCTACCACAACCTATACTAGTTAGCTTTCTTTAAGCTGATTACTTCATGCCTGTATAATGTGATGATCATGTGTATTACTAAAGCCAAATAATTTTCTGTCAGACTGGGCCTGGAGTCTCCTAACCACCTGGATGTAGCAGAAAACATTGCTTGTATGTTCAGTTATGTGACAGTTCAGCAGGCATGATATGTAAAAATAAAGCTGTGATGATGGTGCACCTCTTCAAAGTGTTTCCATCCGACTGCTCTGGTCTGGCATCGGTCAGCATATTCCATGAGCTGATTTTGGTCAAGCACTGGCTGTTATTTGACAGTAGTACTAATGAGGAGGAAGTAGAAATGGGAGCCATTGACGTGTTGTTGGAACTCTTGTCTTAAATATTTTCACCAACTCTCATAGTGGCTGCAACTCGGTACTGAGAGGCTCTTAAACTAAAGGGTTAGGAGTGAGGAAGCTACAAGAGGTAATACAGATGTCTGTCTTCATGTGCTTGTTTATCTTTTACCTTTGTTTCAGCTAGGATGTTGTATCTGAAAGTAAATTTCTTCACCCAGACTCTTCCTGCACTTCAACTTTCTGGCCTGCCTAGTTGTGAAAGCACTGGCAGGCATGTATTAATTTACAGGTAGGAAGGAGAAAAATCTGGGACAACTTTCATTGGGGAAAATAGAGTAAAGGAGAGACTGTATACATGTGTGATATTTTAAATAAATAACTTGTTTTCTTTTCTGTTTTATGTGGACATGTGGTGCATTAGAAATATAACCAGCTTGGTAAGATATATAAAAACTTATGCTGCAGGGTACAATTTGGCCCTTAACTAACGA